GAGGAGACGCAGAGAGAGAGAGACGAGGGGAGATGGGAGATGAGACCGCGCCGCGTCTCAACGAGGAGACAGAGACGAGAGACACCCCATCGTCGATGCGTGCTCTTACAGCTAGATGTTTCTATCCTGGAAAAGAGAGAGCAAAGAATGGACCTGACGCGCGTATTAGCTTGATGGAAAAGTATTTCTCCGCTCTTCTCCCGACTGACGTTCCCCCGCTCACAAATTTGATAGAGAGAGACACAGAGACAGAGACAGAGAGAGAGAGAGAGAGAGATCTGACCCTAAACAAACCCTAAAAAACTGCTTTGACTATCATCTCTGTGAGTCTGCAGTCTGAACAAGAGAGCCTTCATGCCAGCTAGAGTGAAACACTCAATCTGCAACACCAACACTGAACTCCATTGAGTTTTTGAAGGCTGGGAAAATATTGCAGCTGAAGCAAACACTTGAAAGGTTAGAAAATTCAAAAATTAAAACATTCAAGTAGGCCTACATGAATCCCCTTGTAGTGTGTAGCAACCATACAGGACAACACTGACTAAAACATGTCACATTCTCCTCCACCCAATACCAGCCCTTATGGAAGCCATTAGCTGCCAATAAAATAAAATGATTTGATCAACTTATTACTTACCATTTTCATTTTCCATGTGATAATTACCTAATGTGGGCACAAGATGAGTTTGAATTTTTATAATTTGTAGAAGGATATCGCATAACACTGCCATATGCCCATGGTTGAGTGTATGCTTAGGAGTATACAGAAATCAAATTATTGATCAATGGAGCTTTTATTTTAATTTTGGCAATATTTGCATTCCTAAATATTATAAACATTTTTTTACATGTACATCATTCAAAAACAAAGGAAAGATTAAATGTCAATTTGATTAAATTAATTCATTTTAATAGTGGCAGCCACTGACTTCCATATACCACAGGTTGCCCAATGTGAGCAAGCAGATACAACCGCAACCCTGTTTAACACAACAAAGGGGTGGTCAGCCTTTCACATTAATAATAATAATAATCCTCAAAGTTGCCTTTAATGTATTTCTCAGATCACTACAGACAGAAATGTCATCTGCTCACTGCTGAGGCTTCCAATTTAGAATGTTGTTGCCAGCAAAACTGTTAAACCTGGCTTTACCTTCCCACTGTGTTATCTATAATTAAGCAGAGGCCTGACCTCAAATGGTGTGGAGTGATCCGCACCAGAGCAGCATGGGCCTGTCTGTGTCAGCAAACCAGACTACAGAGAGAAGACTCTGCCTGATGAATCCATTACTCCAGTTTACTTTGCTCATCTTCTGCTATGTACACATGAATTGAAGACAGTAATTGTTAGGATGCCCTCTTCCATTCATCATCTTTAGATTTAATAGCTCTTTAACATGCAAGGAGAAAGAGCCTGGTGAAGAGGAGAGAAAAAAATTTAAATAAAACAAAAGGCTGCTTGATGGATCATTTTAATGGCGAATTTATTGGATGACCCATTCAATACCCCAAATGATTTGAATAATGTCATATTCTCTCAGATTCATATGCAAATAAGCAGGGAAACACAAAAACGAAGTTTGGTGCATCAGCAGCATAGGACTGAACATACCGGTTGTCAGTTAGAGCAGTGTGTGTCATTCAGAGTCAGGAGAAACTACTTCAGAGCAGAGAGAGCAAAGAGAAGAGTAAAACAACTGCTGCTAACTCACCATGGCCCCGAGGCTTGGCCTTTCCCACTTTTTTGCCAAGCAGACATGTTGACACGCTGTTTTCAAACAGTAGGTTGGGTTTACTGTGTCGCACCTTGGACCACGTGGCATAGATATGAATTTTCGACAACTTGTCATTGAGATACCAAAGATGAGCTGAGTCGTGAAAACTCGCAATCTGTGGCATAACAACGCAACCCTCAGGAGTCTCATTAAAAACACTGGAACACCGTCCGCTGCAGGGAGGGATGTTCCTGTTCACTGTCACTATGATGGAAGTATTAAAGTCAAAAGTTCATTAATATCCACACGTCAGTAATGAGTCAAATCACAGGGGCACGTTTTGCCGGATATTATTATCCAGGTGGCTAACGCAGCTGCGTGCACTGGTGCGGCGTTCATGTACACGTGGGAAAAGCGGAAATGTGCCTTCTGCGAAGAAAGATACTTTTTCAAATGTTGAATACTGCTATAAAATACAGTAAAGATCAGCTGTTCAGACATAAATACAATAATAGTGACATTGGGTTTGGATAGATGGATAAAATCTCTCTTTATTCGTCTATAAAAAAGAAACTCACAATCTGTGCCAAATCAACTCAGATTCAATATTGTATGTCTAAATCCTACCATATAAGGCAGTACAAATTTGAGCACCTTGTCATTTTACCAAAGAAAAAAGAGCAGTTGTTTGTTTTCACATTCTGAACTACAGCTAAGTAATGTCAACGCTTCTTCTGTGTTTTAGCTTTCTTGTTTCTTTAAACTCAACACTGCTTGAATCTGCATAAGACAGACATATGCAGTATAAAATAATACAGTTTCTGAACTGGTGTTGGACCACAAGACTATAAATCAACCCATAACCCTGCCCAACAAAGTAGAATGTATGCCCATTAGGTACAAAGTAGGCCAGTGGAAAGTAGGCCAAAGCCCTGGTGGCTAATTTCACTGGGAGAAATGTCTCCATACGTCTGTTTGTGATAGTACTAGCTGCCTCTGGAGTCAGGCATTGAGTGAGAGGGCACCGGGACTTGACCAGAAACATGGACACACGTGTGACCTTCAAGTCTGATTAGTGTTGACAAGCAGCAGGAACGCTTCCCGAGGTGTTCTGGGATCTCAGCATTTTGTCATTTAATTACCATTCCAGTAGAAACCTGTTTGCTGCTGTGTGTGAGCTTCTGCTTGAGGCTTAGTGGAATAGCGCTGGCCGTGGTGCTGAAATGCTCCAACAACCTCAAGCGTGTCTGTTGAGCATGAATTTGCCCTTAAAGGCGCTTTCTTATATTCTTAATTAGGTTTTGAAAAAGTTAGTTTTTTATTTTTATCTTCTTAGCATTACCATTAGTTAGGAATGCACCGATACCACTTTTTTCAAACCGACACGATATCGATACTTGGATCTGAGTACTTGCCGATACTGAGTACCGATGCTGATACTTCTACCACAAAAAAATGCAATGAATTGGAAGACTTCTTCTCTGCTTGTTACAACAATTGATGATGAATTAGATAAAAAAATAAAATATTAATAAAAATGACTATAAAACTAAAATTTCAAGTGAAAAATAAACATTTTCTGTGAAATTATTGCAGTTTCCACATTTTAATCAAACATAATATCAATTAACTATTTGGCACTGTCTCCAGCTTTCAGACTGAAGAAACATTAATGAACCTATTGCATAGTGTCCACATTTGAATCAAACAAAATATCAAACTTCAGTCAGCATGCAATGGTGTGGTCTCTGAACTAAGCTTTTTTTGGGAAAGTGAGAGGCAGGTTCTTTTTGATGAAAAGAATCATCTCTCATAGCTTGTGAGCCTGTTTCTGCTTTCATCTCACAATGTGTGACAATGGAGCTGAACAGCTTTCACTGTCAACACTAGTGCAAGGTGCTGAAAGGTATCTGCCCGCCAGTTTAGCCAGAGTTGTTGAACCGCACTTTATTAACCATCCAGTATTTTACCTCGTCAAAAAGTTTTGGCACCATAACGTCCGTGATGTACGGGCGGCTGGAATCTCATATCGCGGCTCGAGTGTGCTGAGAAGACGGCGTAATTCCTACGTTTCCACAACTGACAGTGGCTGGTCATCCAGAGCAATAAAATGTGTCAGAGCCTCTGTTTATTTTAACTGCCCGTGGATTTTCTCTTGACATTTTTTCTCGCTTTTCCAAAACCCTGAGTGAGTTGGCTGTTGTGGTTTAGCATTTAGCCTTAGTGAACTCGGTGTACTCTGGTTATGATGTGTCCTATGTTTTATCAAATTGCTCGTATTTGAAAACAACGTACTCTCCTTCCCTCCCCTGGACACCTTACTAGTACACAGTTTGCACTCTGGCCTTGCTTTCTTTCATGCGTCGCATATTTTATGATTTGAAGTGAGTCCACACTGCTGACATGCTGTTAGCCTACTGCACCCGCCAGATTTTTTTTTTTTTTTGAAGCCACCAGTCTCACTCGCCTAACCACACTGTTCCTGATTAGCTCGACATCTCCCCTAGCCGCCAATCTAAAAAATACAACAAAAATGACAAGCCACCCTCTGATCTTGGTCTTCATTCAAAGCAATTGCATGTAATAAATTGGTATCGGTTCATGGTATCGATTAACTTTAACGAGTACGAGTATGAGTATATTAGACTAGTATTGGCCCGATACCCGATACCAGTATCGGTATCGGTGCATCCCTAATTTAATCAGTATTTATTACTTTAACAATGAATAAATGTATAATATGACAAACCCACAGTGAATTATTAACCGACTTTGAAGCTCCAGCAAGGCAGTTGACTTTCTCAAATTCTTAAATTTTACCTTGTTGAAATAACTCGCCCTCCCAATGGGTCCAACCTCATCGGTGTAGTTGAGGAAGCCGATGCTGGCCTCAGTCAGGCCATAACCCTCTCTAATCTTGATCCTACCAAAGCGATTGACAAACTCCATCCAAACATCTGACCTGAGACCACTTCCTGCTGCCAGCCGGACTCTGTGAGCTTTCTCCTCTGGA